AGGTCTTAAGTCTAATATCTTCTAAGATACAAGCTATTTTGTTATTTGAGCTCTTTGTCGTTTTCTTATTAGTCGTGTCATCTTTAGAATGTAATGAACAAAGGAGTAGGGGAGAGTGGGGTACAATGGGGATATCTTTTTTCTAGGTGCCTTAAAAAATAAAAAATTAATAAAGAGAGATAAAGAAACAATTTTTATTTTAATATGAAATGTAATCATTTACCTTCCATAAAAAAACTGAAGTAAAGAAACTGAATGTACGATAACAAAATAAAAACTCTTTTTTTACAAAAAACAAAAAATTTTAATGCTGACTCAGCATTAGAGACATCAGTTTTTTTATGAAAGATAAATGATTACATTTCATATTAAAATAAAAATTGTTCCTTTATCTCTCTTTGTTAATTTTTTATTTTTTAAGGCACCTAGAAAAAAGATATCCCCATTGTACCCCACTCTGTTCATTACATTTTAAAGATGACAGGACTAATAAGAAAATGACAAAGAGCTCAAATAACAAAATAGCTTGTATCTTAGAAGATATTAGTCTCAGGACCCATGTTAATTAGAACTTTTCTTCTTGTTTTGATCAATACTACCTGCTATCAAAATATGTGACCCTTTTTTTATTCAACACCCTGTGTGTATATATATTTACAAAACATTTATATATTTTAATTTTAAATATTTAATTATTTAAATATTTTATAAATATTTACCAAAATATTTCATAAATATTTTTATGATCTTAGCTTCAATCGATCATAAATATTGATCATAAATATTATAAAAATATTTATTAATATATATAGATTTATATATACTTCTTTCTCTTTTCTAAACTTTTCTTAAATTTTTAAAATATATATATTCTTAGTTTTCACTTTATATTGTTTCACATGTTAATTAATTCAAGTTAAAGGAGAAGTCAATAAGGTCATTTTCAGGCCCACTTCAGGATCACTTCAAGCTGTGCTATTTTATTCCTCTCGATGGAACTCATAATACACTAGAACCGTTTGATGTTCAAGAAATTAGATGCTAAAAATAAAGCACTCTTAGATCTAACATTTATATTGGATATCACGCATAGTTGCAATGTCTGCCTCATTTCACTCTTATCAATGCCACCATAACCATAATTTATATATAATAAATTAAATAATTTCTCAAAAACTCTCTCTCTACTTGTATATATAGTGTATAAAATATATCAAAGCGGTTATTTTACCTTTTTGCCATAACATTGAAATCGAGCTCCATATTAATCAGTACATTTTATTTTCACCAAATATGCAAGCAATAATATTACTTATACGAAATTGGATTAATGTGGTTTAAAGTTGATTTAGAGAATTCAGGACATTTAGAGGATATAATAAATACTGCGGAGAGAAGCTATTTTTTACCTCGTGTGCGTTTGTAAAACTTAAGAAGCCGTGAGGTTTTTAATTCCAGTTCTATCTGATCTAATCAGATAGAGCTTCGTCTTCCCCTAGTTCGGACCAATCTGAAATGTATTCAGCTGTATTTTCAACATATTGTGTGTACTGCCGACATGGTCTTTGCTTTAACTGTTCACAATGTCCCAAATATCCCAGATACCATAAAACTAATGCTATACAACATAACAATCGCATAACAATCGACCGTTCTACCGCCTACTTTGTACTGGCAGTACCATGATGTAATTGGATTAATGCCTTCGCTATATTCTATCCACAGGTTATACACCTTTGATGAGGTGTGACGCGATTGTAGTTGAAGGCGAATGATGTTTTTCTCTTGCCTGTGGATGAAAAGTTAGTATATGCTGTCATTAGTTATGTAGTTAGTTATTTCCTCTGTATAACAGAGTCGCGGCGACGGCGCGAAGCAGCGCCGACAGGCGGATGCCTGCGAGTATCGCGGCGTCTGGGGCACGGCCACTCGCCGTACTCTGCTCGTACGGAACACAGAAAAATACGCAATCTCTCACGGAGACTCGCGTAAAAGTGATGGAAATTCTCTGACAGAGAATCAGCGAAAACAAGTCTATCAAATCGCTTGTAATGAAAGGTCGGCAGAGGCCGAATAACACGGAGCGTCCGACAGCTCGGAAGGAAACCAATACTTCGGACTTAGCCGACTTAGATTGGAACACTCTGACTTCGAAAGTATATGAGCGCGACGGCTCTACAAAAAGAATCGGTATAAGATTGATGTATTAAAGGTGAGTACTATCAAACTCGCAAAAGAGATATCTTAAGATTGTATTCACCCTTACGAAAAAACCCCCAAATTTTAAAGGTTAACCTTTAAATTTGTGGGTCGACCATGAAATTTGAAGGTTGATCACAAAAGTTGGATATTAACCCTGAAAATTTGGGAGTAAATCCTCAAATTTCCAGGATAGATCCAAAATGATTTGGTGTCAACTCGCAAATTTTGGTGTTCACTCTCAATGGGTAGTGTTGAACGTGAAACTTTAAGGATAGACTCTAAATATTTCGGTGCCAACTCCCAAATTTCAGTGTTGACTCTCAATGAGTAGTGTTGAACCTGAAACTTTCAGGGTAAACCTCAAACGATTCGGTGTCAACGACTAAGCTTTAATACTCACTCCCAATTTTAAGTGTTAACATTCAATCTTTCAGATTAGACCTCCAAATGTTTCGGTGCCAATCAAGTTTTGATGTTAACTCCGAATGGTAAATCACTAAAATAAATAAATCTAAATAAATCCCAGAATTTTATTCGCACGAGCAACAGTCATCTCTATATGCTGGCCAAACGTAAAGTCGTATAATAATCAACCTATATGAAAATCATTTATATTAAAAAAATTTGTTGTAAAAAAATTTATTTAGTTAAATTTAGTACATTAGAATCGTATATACTATGCACAAATGTTAACTTAGATAGCACAGAGAACTCAAAAAGAATTAAAATATAATTCAGTCGTGTGTCACAATTCTGGGTTTATTTTTAGATGCAAAAGGAATTCTTTTAAGTTCAGTTCAGTGAAAAGAATTCTTTTAAGTTCAGTTCAGTGAAAAGAATTCTTTTTGCATCTAAAAATGAATTCAGAATTGGTGACATATGACTAAATTCTTTTTAATTTTCTGTGCTGGGAAGATAATAATATACTTGTTTTATACAATTGATGAAATAACGTATTAATGAGTAACTAAAAATATGTTTTTTAAAAATATATTGAAATAATACATATATCCAGACTTTCATTCAGGCTATCATTTTCGGTGTTACTATTTCATACAATATAGAAGCTTGCAGCAATATTGCTACAACGTCGCAATATTGCATATAGCAGTGCAATGTTGCAGAAATATTGTAGTGACATTAATTTGAAACATTATTTTAGCAATATTACAGCAATATCTAAAAAATATTGCGAATATAATATATTTTACTTATTTACTAATTATTTCTGTGATGAGCCAATGAGCAAACTATATTTAAAAAAACATTTTAAAAAAATTGAAGACATTTTTAAAACGTTAAAAATAATGGGTCAAATCCTTTTTTTCATTAAAATAACGTTCATTAACGTATTTTAATGTTTGGAAGATTGTTTTATTTTTTAATGTTTAATAAACAATTATTTTAACATTTAGAAAACATTTTTCTAAATGTTAATATTTAACATTCAAAAAATATTTTCTAAATATTAAAATAAATGTTTATTAAATATTAAAAATCAAAACATTTTTTAAACGTCAAAAAACGTTAAAAAAACGTCTTTTTAATGAAAAAAAGAAAACATCCCATTATTTTTAACGTTTTAAAAATGTTTTTTCAAATAATTTTTAATTGTAATGTTTTTTAATCTTAACACCCAGGTAAACATATTTTAGATAAATATTTTATGCATAAATCTCTGACTTCTCTTTTATTATTATATATGAAATATTTGAAGTACAAATAGTTTATATTTTGTGATTATACTAAATAATATTATAAGAAAACTATAATTCGTACTTCGATTACATATGGGAAATATAAAATGCACTTACAAGGAGATGCCACAATCTGCTAAATCGATTTCTGAACGAGACATAGCACGTTTACTAGCTGCGATGTTAAGCATCAACACCCTAATTAAGATTTGTGCAAATGGGCCTTTGTTTATGAGAAATTACAATATAAAATTTGGATTGCGGGACTGTATCACAGATATGGCTAAAAATGTAACTGTCTTTCAACGAGGTGGCGTGACCGAGTAGACTGAGGCTCTCACGTCGAAAATTTTTGAGCCAGCAGCGAGCGTTTGAAACCCGGCGACGAGTTATCTTTGTGCGGTGTTTTTTTTTTCTTACTTTAAGGCATGTAATTAATGTTTTCCGAATATGATACATTTGTTTTGCATATATCTAGTTTTTATGCTATTAATCAGAGGTAATTAGGGAAGTGTCAGGCTTGTTTAACGCAAACACGAATATAGACATATATTTTGCATTGCTTATAATGAAATATATTTTAGTACATCATTTTCATATGAAAACATTGTATACAACATTGTCATATAATAAAACATTCTCATATAATAAAACATTGTCATATAATAAAACATTGTCATATAATAAAACATTATCGTATAATAAAACACTGTCATATAATAAAACATTGTCGTATAATAAAACATCGTATAATAAAACAC